GTGGAGTGATATACAGTATTTATTATTTTGTATTATGCATAGCCGTGCTTTCACAGCTAACATGTGGCAACTACGATATACTCGCTATCGCTATGCTCTTTGGCTTTGTGACTGACATTTGGTTTCGGTTCGGCTAATATCCCACCACCATATATTTTAATTCTAGTCGACGACTGGCTGTTGCCCTGTTGTTATTTTATTAACATATACTAGTCGTATGCCTAACACGAAAAAATAAGAACACCAGTGAGGGATGACTTTGTTTTAAGAAAAATTATTGCATAACACCGTCCAATTGATCTTAATGATCAGATTGTAATAATAGTAAATGCGCTTTACTTGGGGCATTTATAAAAAATTAATTAATATGATTATTTAGCATTTGAAAATACAAATAAAATATCTTAATTTGTTGGTTTAATCGCATTTAATCACAGTTTTCTCTATAATCTTGGCGTTCATTATCACTAGGATTAAAACCTTTGACTGGAAATGTATTTTATCTTGAATATAATAATTAGTGTAGCTATTTAAAATTCTTTGATTCTCTCTTGACAACAATTTCAGTTTATGTAGCAGCAACTTAATTGGAGTTCGTAATATATTTAAACGTAGGCACACGTCATTGTTTAGTAGTTTTTGTATAGAAGAATCACTTTAGAATATTACGTACTAGCAATAAAAATAAACTTAAGAAAATAATATGATTTTGAGAATTATTTTATTATTACATTGACCATATTCGAGAAGATGGACACCCTTATGTTTTTAAGAACAAACTTAATTTGTTGAAAATTTAATTTTTTTATCATGCGATTCGATAGTCCATGATAGGGTAGGTACACTGTACACTACTTTTTATTGTTTTGTAATTTTTTGTTATAGACATGTGGTTGACAGTACTGTACCAGAGGCGACAATGATAAATATGACATAAAGTTGAACAATAAAAGAACTTCTTTTTAATTTTTCGGTTTACGAATTTTTCAACCTATCCCCGTAAAGCGTACTATAAATAAAATATGAGCAAACACTGTAGGGTAGCAACGTCACAGAGGACAATTTCTATCAAATGACACAAACATAAAACTAAGGTAGTTTCGGGTTTCTATTGGAGTGCGAGTATATAATATATCGACTCATTTCTGTAGGGAGTCAGTAAGCAAAGGTATTTTCCTATGAACGCAAAGCTGAAATATTTGTCAGTGAAGATATCTACAAGGCGCATATCATAGAAAAATTAAATTATTACCTTGTGACGGCCCGCCCCCAGGCCCCCTCTTCTTTTGATTTGTTCTTCTTGTATTTTACTTTACTCTCTTTGAAATGTTATTTTTTTTTACAAGTTTTACTTTAAATTCTATACTTACTGTAATTTGGCCTTTTTCCTCTAGTAGTAGAAGTGATCGTCTAGTTAATTAATTGATATTTTATGTACCCACGTTGTGATAATGTTAATTAAGGTAAACCAGAATTCGATGCAAAGTTTGGTGCAAATTGATAAATAAAACATACAAATTCATATTTAAACTCTATTTATTTTTCATACTTTAAATGTGATGCAATAATTAGCAAAGTATATAACAATTGTTACTATTTACTGAGATCTCACTTTAGTCCCGTTCAAACGCAGACCATATTCATTTGCTATCAATATATATTTTATTTAGGTTGATGACCAACAGAGTTAACAAACAGCGTCAATTCGCCAGTTGATTAACTATAGTGTGGTTGTTTATATTCTGACTTAGGTTGCTGACAACGGAGTTAACGAACAGCGCCAATTCGCCAGTTGGTTAACTATTGAGTTGATGTTGATTTGATTCTATTGTAGATATATACAGGTTGCACCCTCTTAGGTAAATATTACGATGAGTATAGAGGTGATGACCAACGGAAGTAACAAACAGCGCCAATTCGCCAGTTGATTACCTTACTATGTTGATTTCACATATACTTTGTTTCAAACCTTGTAGAACGGGTTGCTTAGCGTATAGGTGTCCCCCCTTGAGCTAACGAACAGCGTATTCGCCAGTTGGTTAACTTACTATTAAATTTTACCATCTTGGTTTGTACAATTTATCCAAGATAGCACAACCTTGTATATTTCCAAAATATTGATCTTTATAATTTCTATTGATATTACTTAATACAACCCTGTATGTATTTTAATATTGATTATTATAATTTCTATTAAAATACTCCAAATTTCACCCATCCAAAACAGATGTTATCCTATCTTTCGGGGTGTATGACCTGAAGGCCATGTGGTTTATTGGTTAAATTGATAATATTTTACAGCAAATGTCAGGCCGCCCTTAAACGAAACCGGGGTGGTATCTCAAAGAAGGTTAAATAAATCTTTTGACTCACCATTGAAAATACAGACATTAAATTATGTACTAATTTCATCTAGCGTCGTGGAAGGCGTCGATGTAGGTACGTCGCAGGGTTGGGCGCCGAGGCGTCCATCGTCGAGACGTCTAGCGTCGTGATGGAAGGGAAGGTATTTAATACGGTACTGTATTGGGACAGATATACGGTAGAATTAAGTAGGTGATGCGGGACGTGATATTATGAAGGAAATAATTATGGACGGCAAAGCGTCGGAAATAAGGCGTGGGACGTTGAGCGTCGAAATTAGTATACGGTAGGAAATACTTAGATGGTGAGGAATGTGACAGCGTTCGAGACGTAGGGAGTAGGATGGCACAGGAAGTTGAGCGTCGAGACGTTGACACCGTCGGGGATAGGAGGTATTGTAAGATAGACGTCGTTTAGGAGGAGCGTTTAGGAAAGGTACAGATTATATAACTGGGTACAGATAATAAAATGTATGCTTGCACATCAAATGATAAAAATTGAATGCCTCCGAGCTCATTTTCGTCAGACTTTTTATACACCGTTTAATCGTTTCTGTGACGTCTCTATCGTTTTGCTTCTCATAGAAAATACGAATGTAGGTGCAAAAGGGGGTGGGTTATTTATTACTTGCCTTGAAAGTTTTGTGTATCGAAATATTGTCGATATCGGTCTGAACATCGAAACTAGGAAAATAAGCGACTTAAGTGTTTTAATGATAATTACTTCGTAAACAGAAATACACTTTATGGTGTTTTCTTTCTCGAGGAACTTAGCCACGTGCATCTTTTACGGACGTGGTTATAGATATTATTTATTAGGTGTCGTAAATAAGGTTTAATTATCTGGGAGATTTTTCGTTAAATGAAGAATTTTGAATTTAAAAGAATGCAATATTGTATTTAATAAATGGAATTAATAAATTATTAAGGTACCTGGGTGCGGTAGGTTACAACCTCCAATAAATACATGTAATACACATCGATCCAATCATATCAAACAATCCTGTGCGCGTTGGGTGACATATATAGTTTTCTTTCGTTCGTTTCTCTTGATAAAATATTAAACAACTCAGTATTGAATTTCCGGGAATTTATTCCTGACTAATTTTCCTTTTGTTTTACGTCAGTATGGAGAAATATGTGATAATTACAGGTATACTTAATTTTTAATTTTAGTACATGAGCTACCATGGTTACGAAACATATTGACAACCATTACTGACATAATATTTAGAGAGATAACAATTATTTCATTAACTTAGTAGAATGGAAAAACTTACGGTGCAGTCACAATTAATTTTTAAAAATATTGAGGAACAACAAACAATTTAATTTTTTTTCTTATACTTGTTGCGTTTGAAAATCCACATCCGATGCATTTTTTACATCTCGAGCGTTTTTTAATCCACATCAGACATATCTACTACATCTACATCTGCGTTTGTTTATCCCAGATGTACCTGTCCAGATTACATTTTTTACATCTCGATTTGAAATGAAATGTGAATGAGATGTTCGTTCCATGCCAGAAAGTTAGTGTTCTGTGAAGCCAAGTTTCTCAATTTATCCTTTGTTTATGCTAGCATGAATATAAAAGTGATTAGTTTGTTTAATTTTTGTTTAGATTTCAAATTTAGGTTGATTTGTAGTCTCAAAAGTCAAATTTAAAAAGTATTAACCTTTAACTTGTCATTTACATTTTATGACGTGACCAAATAAAGTCTAGAGCGTTTGTTTATTACATCTACATTCAGATCTAATTCTCTATCACGTGATAAAAAATTCACAACCTCTCAGATGCATCCAATGAACTGGAGTGGGGTAGAATGCTTGTCAATAGGCTTGGGATGCGACTCTATGGGCAAAGACAGGTTATTTTTCATCTCACTCGGGAGTATTTATAACAACCATTTTCTATTTCACTTTGTTACTGTCTGATCCACCAGCATGTGGATTGAACAATAACAATGTGAAATGGAAAATGGTTATTATAAATACTCCCAAGTGAGATAAGAAATAAAAATGGCTGCGCCCATAGAGTCGCAGCTTGTGCTATTAATACAATATGCGGCAACTGTAGGTGTATTTATATATTTGGTTTAACAAAATTAATAGAGAAATGAAAAAAAATTTTACTACCGTACGTAAAGTACATACTTTACGGACTCTACAATCATTCACCTACTAAAACCATCTCTAAAACTGCTGGTAAAGAGTTGGTAGAAGATTCATTTTAATACCTTTAGCGGAATTTAAATGCAACCGGAAATGGCGAACCCTTGCTTTATTTATTTTTATTTTTCTGACTTTAGCGAAAGAACAGACAGTATGGTCCTCATGACCTTGCTGAACTGAGCTGAGTTGCCATTTACTTTGTACTTTTTTTTTGTAATATTATTAAAATTATAATTATTTTGTATGTAATGAGTAATAAACGTATTTATTATTATTATTATTATTACTTATATATTCTTGTCATCGTTTAAAATTGCTTCTGTATATTAAGTTACGTCAATAGCTCCGAAAATAGGCACTTTTTTTAATAATTTAGGTACAAGACATCCACATTTACATCTTATCCACTTATGTCGAACATCTTGTACATAATGGTTCTATTAATAAAATTTTCTTTTTCAGAAACAGTCGATGAAGATGCTCATATTCAGGTCGAAGATTGGCGGCTACATAAATTTCAATCGCCCATCGAATTAACGCACGATGAAAGTATTCACCACGATCATTTTGAACCACTGGAATTTCATGGTCATTGGGACGAAGGTGGTGATACTACATTTACAAACAATGGATTTACAGGTATAATTGATAATTGATAGTCAAGTTATTACAAAGATTAATAAACGCGAATGTATACAGGGTGTTGAAATATATGTACCTATATATTAAAAGTATAATGTTAAAAAACGGTTGGAGATAAATAAAACAATAAACCTAACTAACCTACCTAACCTGTGCGGGTCATCGCGGGTTGTTAAAATGAGAAAAAATACAAAAACTTTCAAGCTGCCATTGGGTTATGGATTCTGTTAACTATAACTGTAGCTACAGTTGAGATATCATTTTATGAACTAAAATTAATAATATATCAGTTTTTACGCACAATGGCTCGGAAGAGACTTGACGTGAGTATTAGAAAAAAATGTCAATTAAGTACATGTTTTTCAAATCGCTTTTATCCTCCTAGGTGTATAGACAACCCAAACGGATTCTTTGTAGGTACTAGACGTAAATATTTACCTTTAATTTTATTTTCAATAAACAAACAAACAGACTATTACGTAACCTCATCTTCTTCGAAACTATTGTTCATAGAATCCACAACCACGCGACTGTTTACAACGTACTGTGTTATATCAAATTTATTGATTTTTACTACCATTGCCCCTATGATCAATACCATTCACAATTAATTTTTAATGTCATCATTACTTAATATCTCATTTGATATTGATTTAGCTTCAGTAATTTCCAAGTAAAAGTCGGTATTACAACAGGAACATTATTTTGTATTTAAAAACTACCTAGAACTAAAATTAAAAAATAAACCGTAGGTACAATTCAAACATCATCAATTCTGAGATTATTGTACCATTTTAATTGAAAAGGTACATCCTTTATATAGAGACAACGACACTTCCGTAGTTCTAATGATATTCGCTTTACTGCGCTACTGTCACTCCGATAACAATAACACGATCGGTGCGGTTTGAGTAGAACCTGATGTAGGATCGCAAATGAGCGAATATGTCTGAAAACTCATTTTTCGATAATAGACTTATCCCGTGAGCACGCCTATGGAAATTTTAAATATTTTATCATGATATCAACAAACTGTGAAAATTTCCTTGAAATCCCTTAATTTTTTTTTAATATATTATTAAAAATATACCCTGTATCTCGGAAACGAAGCGTTTTCGGACATTTGTTTATTAAGCAAGCAATATGTAGGGGATACCCTGTATAAAAAAAAATGTTTGTAATTTACGGTATTTAGATAAAATAATTATTGTATAGTTTCCTAGCGTTTAAAATTATGTTTTTCTTGCCAATACAAGCCAGCCGTCTTTTTTATCACACGTGGGTACCTCAGTATTTTCCTATGCGTCATCAATAAAAAACCAAAGAAAAAAATCGAGATATGCTAATCAAATTAGGCAGTGGCTATTGCTCCGACCAACGTCCATATAAAATATTCTCATTTAGAGTACATAAAAACTGTACTCTCGAAATCTTTTTTGTACTTGCGTCTTAAGCGGTTTTCTACGCTTAATCTATCTAAAAAAAAATTGTAAAAAAACGTTGCCTTTGGATTTTTATTTACCTGTTTCCCTTATTTTACCAAAATTCCTCCATCGCATCATTTTTCTTTTTAATAAATACCCTGAGTGAAGCATTTATAATAATTAATTTTACAATCTGATCAATATATATCATAAAGATAAACATCTGATGGTTTATTAATGGACTTTACGCGTTCAATATTACAACATTCTGGACTTAAACAAGTTTTAACTTGTTTATCACTTCTCACATCAAATCGATGATTTTTTAGATAACTAAGAAAAATATTTTAAATATTTTTTTAATGCGGAATACCTAATGCGATTTTAAATGAAGTTTTTATGTTTTACCGGTGTTTGATTTTAGCATTTAATAAATGATTGAATTAAAAATTATTATAATCTATTTTTCTTATGCAATTATATCTCATATAATACAAAGTTCTCAATAATACCGAAGAAAACAAGAAATTGAATGAAACTACCCTTTTTTGCAGTGACTTGTAGGCAACGTAATACACCTTTCTCCTTTGTTTAAAGATAACATTGGTTTTAATGTTTAAATGAATTCAATCTTGAACCTAATAGAAATAAAATGTTAATAAATACCTGTAGAAGTCTACAGTGTAACTACAGTTGTTATCTAACAACTTCCTAACAAAAACAGCCGTAAGCAGACGAAAGGTAGTTTCATGGTGACGTCAACCACAAAACTTTTTGACTAGCTAAAAGGCAGCTACTATATGCCTCAAAAATTAGCACAATAGGGCGATTGAGGCCTAAGTGATGTGGAGGAACCCACCCTCTCCACCTTACAGAAACAGAACGCAAGCAACAAATAGTAGCCTTTGCTGAAGTAATAAATGTACTTATTTAGTTCTGTAAGGTTCCTATCATCTTATGTATTGAAACATTTATTATCTAATAGTACATATTTTTTCTCTCAGAAACTAGTTGTTACGCTTAACCACCAAGATTATTTGGTTGCTTCCAAATCACTTACAGCCGTATGCATAAGCCCGTATTTATAAACAAAACTCAGCTGAGTCGAACTTGGATAAGTCGTCCTTGAACGAAAATCGGAGTTCGGTTATATTGCGTGAATTTAGAGATGGCTAGTAACAAATCCGTAAATGTACATAACAGTTACATATTTGCTAATATCCCTCTCTAAATTCCAGTCAAACACCAGAACCACCTAGAACTTTAGAGACGTTGTAACCGAACTTCGATTTTAGTTCAAGGACGACTTAGCCAGGTCCGACTCACGTAAGTTCTGTTTATAAATACGGGCCTTAGTCGATCAACTAAGATGATATTAATATTGGTCAACACCATGTATATTAAGTAACTTTTGCAAATTCTGGAAATTTTGAACCAATTAAAAAAGCAACAATTTATTTTTGAAAGTTAGACTTTTATTAGGTAATAAAAGCTGTAATCTTTTTATTTTAATTGAACTATTTGTTTTTAATCAATTTTATGTATTATTATGTTATTATAATTTTATTTCTTTATTTGGCTGCTTCCCAATAATTTTAATTGCTATATATAGGGTCCAATTACTTATTGATTTGTTAAATATCCCAAAAATATTTAAAAAAATATAGATATATCGGAATAATTTGTAAAAAATTCTTACTAATAGGTAGAGCTCGATTTTTTGTGAAGAGCACACTTCGTCATAATGTGCAGAAACCAATTTGAGTTTTTGTGCTTCGATTTGTGTGTATATAAACTTTAATTTGTTATATTTTTTGAATTCCTAATTAATTTTGTGTATATTTAGGAAAAAATAAACGAGTCTTAAAAATATTTAAAGTACATTGTAATTATATGTTAAGCGTTAAGCCTTATCAATGTAATATTTAGAAACTGATATTGATCTACCACAAACAATATAGTGAATAATGAATGTAAGATAAAACTTACAGCATAATGAAAACACACTAGCGTAACGAAATGAGAAGAGGTATAGTGTGACCATGCATTGACGTAGATAATTTTTATTTCTACAAGGTACTAGGTAATAAGTAATAATCATCTTTATTTTTAGCAACGTTGAGATTTCAAAATCGAGAGTTGCCTTTTTTGAGAGGAGGTCCTCTTCACGAAGACGAGTACGTATTCGATCAATTACATTTTCACTGGAGCGAAGATGACCACAGTGGATGCGAACATCTTTTTGAAGGACGAGCGTAAGTAGTTTTTAATTATTTTAACTATATAGGTACTTTATTCCACCATCGGAATTAATTAATCTTAACGACGGCTATGTTACCATTTAAATGTTGCTTGGAAATCCCCATTATGTCAACTTTGATTGCCAAATGCATTTATGACCTCAATAATGATTGTTCTACGTTTAATATTATGTGGTATCTTAAAACACTGCTATCATTATTGATACACTAAATAAATTCTTGTATTTGTCATCGTCAATCGGAAAGGAATATTGTTTGTTGTTTTCGTAGGAATTTTTTATTACCAAAACACCTATGAAATATTTAATCATCAATATTTAACTAATTTAATTTTAATTGGTATTGAAACAGTAGATAAATATTTTAAAAACATTTATTAATTATAGTAAATTGGGACCTGTAAAGAAGTCATACGCCCTCTGATTTGAACATAAGTAACTGCTCACCGACAGAAATATTTGACCATGACGTTTTGTTTTTCTATGAGTAAATGGTGTTTAGCAAATCTCTTTTAAAATGTTTTATTTAGTAATAAATTTAATAAATAAAATTTTGATCATCTCTACTAAAACAGACATTATTTATAATATTTATTTATTCAGTTACCTAGCTATTTTCAATATAATTACAATGAGTAGAAAAGACAATACTGTTTAATACTTGTGTGCAATACAGGGTGGGCCAATGAAAACTTTACACCCCTATTTTCCGGCTTTAAAACGAAAATCGGGAAAAAACTTTTGGTTTTTTCATCCATGTAACTTCAACTCTCTAACAGGGGGAAGCTCAACCCACTGTTTTTGAATAGGGGTGAGGGGTATTGTAATACCTCATTTTGAAGATCTCATCGAGTACTATCTGACCCCTAAATATCGCGTCAAAATTTTTATCGATAACAGCTAAAACAGTGAGAGACAATGTGGAAAATATGTCTACTTAATAACAAACAAAAAAGAATATTTACTTCTGTGATTAGTTTATTAAATGCTGGAAATGGTCACCATTCATTTAAATGCAGTAAAATAAGTTTTGTTTACCTTAAGGATAACACAGGAGAACAGCTGTTTTGGTGTCGAGATTTTTTGAGCTGTTTCTATATCAATTTGATGTCCTAAATTCAAATAACGTATTCATTTTTACCTAGGAGCTCAAATTTTTAAGATATACAATTTTAGAAAAATATAAGTTACATTATTTTAACTCAAATCCATAAGTGTAGTAAACAAAAGTAGGTACGAAATTTTTATTTTAGTTATACAAAATACAATATTATGTCGTCCTTACAAACAAAAAAAAAAGGAAGAAATCAAATAGTCACTCAACACTTCGAAAGCTTCTTTTCCGCGACATTCTTGAATGCTTTTTTAAACAGTCCCTTTTTAAACCCCAGCAGTAATCTGCCATCATGTGCATGTCCCATCTTCCTTGGTAGCGGTCCTCCATAACTTTAATATCTGGGATGAGAATTTTCCTCAAAGCTGGATTGGAAGAAGGGGGCATATTGAGTGACCACCCAGGTCAAGAAAGTGTTCCTCATTTTGGTTACCGCCACGTGGTAGAACCGTGTCTATTACGTGGTAGAAACTTTGGCAATACACTTTAAAGTTTCTAAAGTCGTGGTAGCCACGTTCCGCCCACGAAAAATGTTTGTTGGAGGCCTTCCCCTTGGGCCAACAACATATCAGTCGTGATAACGTCATAAGGACAATCCCTTGTGAAATTCAAAAAAAGGTTGGATGAAATAAGAAGCTGCAGAGTCCCTGGGGAGCTTTAAGATTACCCTAATAACACCACATCAAACAAATCCTTGTTTATGACTAAATAGAAGCTGCTTCTGATTACAGGCATTATGATTGGTTATTGCCAAGTACGGAACCACTGCATGGGGCTACTAGGCTCTACACTCTGCAGAGGGTAGGAACAAGAAGATTACTATTGAGCATGTAATCTGTGATTGCCTGATGATCTCATCTATTAGGATATTTATATTTGGTTGGTACTTAACACTGCTCTACAAAAGAGAAGCACCTCTCTGAGGGAGCAACTTACCCTCTCCATCTTACAGATAACAGAACAGTGTTTCAAAGTAAAAACTTTATAATAGAAATGAAACTAGAGGTGGTACATATAATCTCAGCTTAGACACTTTAAATAACTACTACCTCTATAGTTTCATTTCTTAATTATCTATAGTTTCATTTTTCATTTACATAGTTTATACACACCTATCGCTTTCTTGAATTATTTATAACAGAGGATATCTATCTACTTCTCAAGTGAAAGAATAACATAAAATTATTATATTCACTAAAAATTGTTAATAACAATATAATTCTAGAAAAATGTCTCTTTTCCTCTAAAAATTAAGCAAAATATTCCAATTGGTCTTTAAAAATTATTTAAAAATATTTGTTCTTGAGTAATTACAATGTCAAGAACAGATGGAGCTGCCATCCTAATTTTAAATCCCAATAGTATTATGTTATCACAAATTAACTTATTTCAGTTTTTCCATGGAAGCGCATGCAGTTCATTTTAATAAGAAATATGCGGACTTCCAAGAAGCCCACGATAAACAGGATGGTTTAGCTGTCGTCGGCTTTTTTCTACAGGCTACTGATAACATCGACAATCCTTGCTTTGACAAATTATCCTCAGCTGTGGTTGACATTGAAAAAGTTAATTCTACGACCACCGTACAATCAGGTAGGCATAATTAAATTAATTCATGATCTTGATTATGCACACATAGTTGGCGCCCAACTGTCTATTTATGTATAATAATATATTACAATTCTTATTTGAATTATATTTTTTATTTTCAGATTGTTTAACGTGGATTAAAGAAGTAGCGCAATGTAAGGGATATTATACATACCAGGGATCACTAACAACAGAACCATATACTGAAAGTGTTACATGGATTTTATATTCTACTCCAATTCATGTATCCAGAGAACAGGTAAATATTTTTAATTTGTACACACTTGTAGACGATTCATTCAGCTTCTCACAATATTTCAGTAAGCACTTCGTTTTCAGTTTGAAAGCAAAAATAGCCGAATAAATTTTATTATTTAGACTTTTTCATTGTTTGATAGTTATTGTAAATCATACATTCAATATTAACATATTCTTAATAAATATTAATATTTGTCAATTATTAACTAAACACACGAAAAAAAAAGAAACTCAACCTCCAAAACAATGATACGCACCTTCAGACCAATAACCTCACAGAACACTCTTACTTTTGTTGTTTTCCCAATCGTTTACCACAATGTCACATAATTTGGATTACCTGAATCGTATCGCACATCTGCGCATTAACATCGTTTCGATGAGCTCTTGCAATTTCAGAAAATAGCGACTGCCTCAAAATATATTGCCGCAAGTCGTATTGAAGCTGCACTTATAGGTAAAAAATGGCCGAGATGAGCGCTGTCAATAAATAAGGTGTTTTAACTCTCCAAAAAAATGCCTAAAATTGATTACACCAAAAAAATGACGGTTCTTATTTAACTTATCAGAAGTGCAATCGTGCAAATGACAATTTATTTTAGTTTTTATCAAGTAATAAATATAACTGGAGTCTAATTTTCAACATATATTTATTATTACTTAGCACTTGAAAAAATAAGAAAAACATTTTAATTTGCAGGTTTAGTTTAATTTACTGAAAATAAAAACTTCGAATGTAGCACTCGGCGTCCTAGGGACATTAGATTTCGGCCCAATAATCAATAATTATTGTAATGCGACCCGCTTTGAGCAATCTATGTAACTATATATCATTGACCCTGTCAAAGCCCTTAGGCATCACATACTTTGATTTTATTTTAAGTATGTGTTAGGCATCCATTAGGACAGTGATAAAACGTCTAATATTAATGATTACGTAATTTGTGTTCCAATGACAACTGTCAGTGACTAAAATAGGAGTTATAGGTATTCATTAACATTTTATTTATATTTTCAAGATTAACAATAATTTGGTTACTTTAATCTACTTCTTTATGACCTGAAAACATTATTTAAATAAAAACTAAAAATATACATTAAATCAATGACAGAATGGTTTGTTTTTATTGAAAGTTAACAGTCAGTGGAACACAAATTACGTCACAATAATATAGCTTATTGCGAAGTGCGACAGCAAACTGTAAAAACTCTAAATTATTTCTTTCTAGGTTGCACACTTCAGAAATATGAAGTCTACTCCTTGTGAACAACACAACATCAAGAAGAATGTTAGACCGATCCAGACGCCACCTACACACAAAAAGCTAAATGTTTTGTACGCTAGATCTCACAGATCAAGTTCACCAGGAGCTGGTGAAAAATAATATTAAATTATTATCTACTTATTTATAAATTTACAGCACTTCTTGTGCTCTCTGGGAAGTAAAAGCAAACAGGCTATGTCAATTGTCTAATAAAAATAAAGGTATAGGTAGGTACAAATAGCGCAAGTTAGCTAATCTGATTGGACAATAGACAATACTTTCAACAAGGATGATAATACGAGGTGTGTCTTAACACCATTTACTGACATATTCGTACATCCTCATTCAGTAACTCATGAAGGCAAGTATCAGTTGCCATATTCATGTACTAAGTGTTATTGAATTAATCATCTTTAAATTGAAAACGTCCGACCCTGCTTTCAAGATTGACATAACCTCAATAGCGCAAGTTAGCTACTTTCATTGGACAATGGACAATACGAGGTGTGTCTTAAATTGAGACACCATTTACCGACATATTCGTACATCCTCAATCAGTAACTCATAGGTCGTTTCAATATTGAATGACTAGTGGAGACATGTACACAAATGTCAGTTGTCAACTTCAAGAACCAATTGTCTTTAAATTGAAAAAGTACGATCCTGCTTTCAAGATTGACATGACCTCAATATGAGGACGAAATAGAGCAAACTTATTAGCTTTTCCTGTATGTTTTCATCAATAAGTATTTAAATTATGTATACATTTTACAAGAAATAGTTAGTCAAATTAGTTGGTATAGGTACTCTATGAAATAAACGAGGATTTTTCATTTTAAACTGAAGTTTTATTTTCATAAATATTTGGGAATCTAAAAATTAACAATCTTATTTCGTCTACTAAACAAAGGAATCCATTAGCACGACCCCAAGGTAGCACTAGCGGAAAATTGAGAGAGGTGAGTGGAAAAATGTGTACCGACTAGATTTGCAAACTGATATAAACTGCCAATTCGGCTATTATTGTAGCTATAAGCTCCTATGTGTTTTGTTTTTACACCTTTCAAACATTCGATCATGTATTGGAATAGATACGCCTTGTTTACATAAACAATTATCGTATGATAATAAGGTCCATTATCGCATGCACAACAAACGATGGTACCCTCAGAGGTTGCCATAGTGTCATTTCGATTAATCGTATAATGATAATAATTATTGGTTCTCAATGTTTTAAGGTTCAAGATACTTAATATGGAGCTTAATATTTAACAATTCATTCAAGAATCTGGATCATATTCATAAACTTTCTCATTTAATTTTTTTCTGCATTAAATTAGATGTTTTTAGATTTTGTTCACTAGGATACATCGGTTTAACCATTATATCTATATTTTAACTGGTAATCCCGTTTGTGTGTTTTTGAAAGTGTTGTTGGGTGTTTTATTTTAGTGGAATATTCTTGTTTGATTTATTTATATAAATAAATTGTCTACAAACGTGATTATAGATTTCAAAATAGTAAAGAGATGCATAGATTTCCGAACCTTTTAGACCAAAACCACTCAAAACCAATGCTCGCAATTTTCACAGGTAGGTTATGTGAAAATCAATCTCACGAAATGTAAATAATGTAGATATCCATGGGCGTAACAACTGTGCTAGGGTTTTATTTATTTCTTAATATAAAAATACCTAATTGTAGAAACTGGTTATTTAATGGTATATACATTTACAGGTTTCCGAGAGACATTGTCCAATGTCATTGTGGCTGAACAACTTGAAAATAAAAGAGGAAGATCTCAAAACTGAAAGATGCCAAAGTTTGTTCAGATCACTTTTCACCTGAATATTTATTTAGCTATAATAATCGAACATTTGATTTGAAATCCAATGTTTTGGCAATAGAGTAAGTAAACAAGTGTCTTTATATACATACTTTCGTATTGATATAGGTAAAAAGGTAATTAATTGCAAACGTTTTTTAAAACTAAGTGTTATTGAGGTCTAAAATACTGTGAAAAATAGCTTAGAACTGTTGTCTTCCAGTTGTAGTTTAATAAACACAAAGTAAACTTTTTTGATTGTACTAAACCCATTACTGAAAACTTATAATCTTTTTTAGTACATATTTCGTTGAGGGAAGTAGTATAAAAAATTTATATGTGGAAACGCATGATGATTATATTCGCTCAGTGCGAAGTTATGGTAGGGGAAGCAAAAGCGATACTAGCGCAAGCTGCAGATAATTCGACCATTTTGGGGCGATATTTTGTAATTTTGACGTATCAAATACACGAATACATTTTACTTTTTTAGCAAAAAGGAAGTAAAAACAATGTAATAAGCAACCGTAGTTGGTGTGTACTAGAAGTAGAATCTCCCAAGGTATTTATTTATTTTTTTTTTTCTAAAAAGTAAGTTTTCACTTCTTTTACAAAATTAAATTATTTTTAAATTCTAAGATATTTTGTAATTTATTCTTTTTTTTTTCATTTATTCGGATTCTATGAATAAGAAAAGGAAACATCAATCCACGTCCTGCACCAATGTGAAAGCCTAACTAGATTGAGATTTCTAATACTAGGTGAAGAAAAGCCAGACACATGTAACTACATGCATGCGGATGCCACTGTTAAGTCTAATAAAAAAGTCCAAGCTTAGATGACATACTCTAAAACAAACGGAGTCCCACAATAATCTGAAAAGGTCGCGGTGGACACGGAAAAATAATGTCAAACTCCTATTATGACCCCCAAAACCCCATCGTGGCTATGCCACTGATAACATGAAATACTCTTGTTTTTTATATTTATAAAAGTTTTAGAGATATATTTTGTGAAATGGTAATATTATTATACCTTTAAGTAAACCATTATAGTCAATTTAATACTACTACGATAACTCAAAGCACAAATCCAGAAAACTTCTGAAAATATGTTTAACTATGTTTTCTACTAGAACAAGGACATCTTCATCATTTTTAAACGGAATAGAAGAGTCAAAGTATAATTTATACGTTATTGAAAAAAAGAAAGACTCACCTTATATAAAAACCATGCTGCTTTCTTTTCATTCCACTAACGGCATTATTCCATCCATATCCAGACATTTTCTTACACTCAGGAAATCTTCTGTTCCCGGCGACGTCAGTTCATTCCAACATCAACAATCATTCTATCATTCCCTACCTCTAATAACAGCACCTAGATACTCTTACAATTTATCAACATTCCAAAATCAAACACTTTAGTGTCATATTAAAGAAGAAAAAACAAGAATTTTAAGTTTATATCTGTGATTGATTCAAGTAAGTTTAATAATTATATGAGATATCACCAGGCAGTATTAGTGCGCAGCCTTGTCTATTTAATCCAAGAATTTACATCAGAAATTAATTATTATAAAGATAACACATCTTAGAATTAAATTCCAAAAGATGTAACCCTTAATAAATGATTTCAAAAGACGTAAATAGCGTGAATCAAATATCTTTATTGTCAGAGAGAAAGGGAATGATCCCAAACAAAATCGTTGATGTAAATATAAAAACATCGAGCTTTTATAATAACATCAATGATGCAAAACACTCAAAAAACTAGCTAAAATTTAAAAGTTTATTTTCAATGATTTTTACGAATTAACGTAGGCACTTTTTTATTCAATGAAAAGTTTTTGGATATAATTTTTTTTTTACGTAGAAAAAAAAAATTAACAACCAACCTAGAGGTTTACCAACATTTTTAAAATCGATTGAAACCCAAAAATATGATTTTATCTGAAGAATAAATTAACTCTATATTTATTTATAAATTATAAGACTACTTTACCAAAATCTGAAAAGATTATATGCATATTTTTAATTATTAGGCAATAAATCTCACTTTTTAAATTATCTCTGCAAAAAAACGTTTTCTAAATAGATCCTACATCGTATCTAAAATACCTACTTTTATTCTTTGACCAAAAGTACCCATATATATTTGCGCTTCTCCTTTGTATATTATGAAAAAAAAATAATTATAAAATAATATTCCTGTGCCTATAAATAGTTTTTATACACATAACATTAAATATTTCAAATTTGCTATTACTACTTATTTGTTTTAACACATTCATTCTCCTACCTTTACACGAAAAATCTACGGCACTGTTAAACCCAAAATCAAGCTGAAAAAGAAGAAAATACCTGATAATTTACCCTAGTCAAAAAGTTTCAATAAAAAAGTCACGAAAAAGAAAAAATATTTAGGTATTATATAAAGATTATAGGGAAGTATTTTGTCTAGTGAATATTTTTTATTCTTACGGTTCTTTTGGAAAAAAACTTTAATTTCAGATATACTTGACTTTAATAGTATATTGTGTCACAAGGGCAGAAAATGAGCTTTAGCAGCCCACGGCTATTAGCTGCATGAATTTCTCGAATACGGACCATTTCAGGAAAAAGCAAAAATTATAGATAATAATATTAGAAGGAATTTTTATTTGAACAATTTTCTTTTCCAAACATAAATAACAAATATATTTCATAAAATATAAAAACGGCCTCCCATAAGTACTTCCCCAGATGTTCCGACTTTGTCCAAAATCTAATCATGTTACGTCAGGTCGAAATAAAACTTAAGTTTAAAATTTAATTTTTTTTCCTTTATCCGTTTTTGAGTTTTCATTAAAATTCGAAATTTACACATTTTCTCAAATATCTCGAATACGGTCCATTTTAGAGAAATTATGTATAGTATAAAAATTATAAAGAATTGTATTACAAACAATTTTTAATTGAACAACTTTTTTTAAAAAAATATTTTTTTTTCATTTTGTCAAATTTCTCGAATACGGACCATTTTAGGAAAATTTTGTATAGAACAAAAAATATTGATAATAATATTGTAAGTAACTTTTATTTAAAGAATTTTTTTCTCTAAACGTAAATAACATATATATTCCATAAAATATAAAAATGACCACCTATAAAGTACCCCTCCATATGTTCCGACTCTGCCCAAAATCTAATCAGTTCATTGGACACACACACACATCATCCAGAAAATAGTCAAAACGGATTCAGGGGACCCCAAAACGTAAAAATTCGTCGAAAACTGGAGGTCGAAAAAATCATGATTCCTATATTTTACATAGCTGTATACAGATAGGAAAGTAAAAAGATTAAACCCTACCAGATGGTCTCATAGATTACATTATCTAACTGCCATAAGATTTCGGTTCACAGACAGAACAAAAGCTCTTAATAAAATTATTTTAATATCTAAAGAAAAGGACGAGCGGGACGAAGCAAAAATTATATTAAAAAATATTGAAAGTTTTGATTTTGTTTTATTTTGACCAAGTATTACAAGAGATTAACAGTTTATCAAAAGCAATGCAAAAATTTGATGCAAACCTAAATGAAACCGTTAATTTGTTAAAAAAAACTATAGAATGTCTGAAACTATAAATAAATTTTCAGATATTAAAGACGAAACTGTAAAAATTTCACAAAAATGGGGTATAACTCCACAATTTGCAAATAAGAGAGCACCAAAGGTAAAATCTCATTTTGACGAACTTATTTCTGATTATAGATTTTCGGATTTCGAACATAGGTTTAAAATAAATATATTATTTTTCATATTATAAAAATAATCATCACACTTGGTTTCATCTTTGCGACTATAATTTTTTATTATTTTTTTTACGCCTATTTATGTGGGTGGAAGACGTAGTTTTTTGTACAATTCAGGTGGAAAGACGATATTTTCTAATATTTTTATGTTCATATCCAAGTGTACACCAAGTTTCATCCATGCGAAAATGATTTTTT